TCCTTCTAATGTCTGTATGTTCTATGGGAATTTTAAAGTCTAGGTGATACTCTATACAGACTGATATGGTTTGGCTCTGTATCTGCATCCAGATCATGTTTGCTTGACATAAAACCTGGACACTGCACTATATGGGAGACACAGTCATGCTACTCTAGGAGATATCTGACCCCAGTGTGGAATCCTTAAAACAGTTGGGCAAATCCTCAAACCTGTGTTTCTAAGCTCATAAATTTCCTCCAGTGTTGTCAGTTTTTAAATTCTACCACTTTCTAAAAATAACAACATAATAAAAATTGATACTGTCAGTGGGCCGGGTACAGTGGGTGGCTCATGCTTGTAGTCCCAGTACTTTGGGAGGCCAAGGTGGGTGGATTACGAGGTCAGGAGATTGACACCATCCTGGCCAACATCGTGAAACCCCGTCTCTACTAAAAATAGAAAAATTAGCTGTGTGTGGTGGCACGTGCCTGAATCTCAGCTATTTGGGAGGCTGAAGGAGGAGAATCGCTTGAACCAGGGAGGTAGAGGTTGCAGTGAGCCAAGATCATGCCACTGCACTTCAGCCTGGGCAACAGAGCAAGACTCTGTCTCGGGGAAAAAAAAAATTGATACTGTCAACACAAAGAATATACGTTTTAGAGAATCAATCACTTATCAGCTGCTATGCACAGCTTAGCCTGTTTTTTTTTCTATAGACATATTGTAGATAGTGGGGTTCTTCAAGGACAAATCGCAAAGGTAGTGTTGTAGACTGATGCACACAAATGGAGATTCAGGTAGAATGTTTTTCTTTCTTTTCTAGAATCATCTCTTTGTCCTTACTCAAAAAGGAACCTCAAATGTGTGAGAATAATAGAAATAGTTTCATTTTCTCTATGAAATAAAAGCTAGTGTCTCTCTGGTATATCCTCCAAAGTAGAGCCATGTCGGGATTAAAAAAAAAAAAAAAAAAAAAAAAGGCTTAAATGCTGTCTCTTATACACATCTAGATGTGTATAAGAGACAGGGTATATCCTCCAAAGTAGAGCCATGTCGGGATTAAAAAAAAAAAAAAAAAAAAAAAGGCTTAAATGTGCCATCTTCTAAGAGGTTCTAGAAGAAAAGCCACTTTTTTTTTTTTTTCCTTCAAAAGACGGGGTTTCACCACGTTGGCCAGGCTGGTCTTGAACTCCTGACCTCAAGTGATCCACCTGCCTTGGCCTCCCAAAATGCTGGGTGAGCCACTGCACCCAGCCATGAAGCCACTTTTTATCTGAGGGCTGGTCACTTCAGTTACCTAACTTACTCCTTTCTGTGCTGCTCCATGAGAAGTGAAGAGAAAAATTAATTACCTGTAAGGGCTCTTCGTCAGTGCCAACAGGATGACATGAAATGATGTACTCAGAAGTGTCCTGGAATGGGGCCCATGAGATGGTTGTCTGAGAGAGAGCTTCTTGTCCTGTAGAGGCATTTGGATTGAGTCCCAGCCCATGTGGGTAGAGGTGATAGTCTACGTCTTCCCTAGGGATGTGACCAATTTGAATCTCCTCACCTACATTCGGCGGGTATGGTCTTGGCCTATGCCTTATGGGGGTGGCTGTTGTGGGAGGTGTGGTCCTCCTAAAACCATGTTCCTCAAAGATCATTTGTTGCCCAACAGTGGGTTGCTGACCAGAAGTGCCAGGAAGCTGAATACCATTTCCAGTGTCATACCCAGGGTGGGTGATGAAAGGGGTCTTTTGAACTGTGGAAGGAACATCCAAGATCTCTGGTCCATGAAGATTGGGGTGTGGAAGGGTTACCAGTTGGGGAAGCTCGTCTAGCCAAGAGAGGTTAGAGCCAAAAAAGCAAAGCGCATTAAGCTCCAAGAAGCAGCAGCAATAATAATCATCTATTCAGGCAACAATGAATGTTCACCAATGTGATAAAAAGCCCTCAGAAAATGAGCAGTTCTGAGATCACGAAACACTTTTTCCAGAAAGAAATCTTTAGGATTTTTCTCAAAGGTTTCTTTATAGTTTAGAAAGAAAAAAGTGTTAGTATGAATTTATCATACACACAGCTTTAAACCGCTGGGCCCCTTAGAAGCTGCCTCTGCTCAAATTAAACGTGATGGAACCGAAATGTGCATTCTCTTTCTTTCTTTTTTAAATTTGAGAAGCAAGTTGTAGGAAGTAGAATCCAGACTAATCATATCAGTGTCTTAAGTATGAGAATTACAGAGGTTTGGCTCAACAGTTTTTCATGGTTTGAAATGGTAAAAATAGATAAAACACACATTCATTTTTTAAATTTTCCTATCACGACAGCATTTTCTTGAAATTAAAACTGGGTGCAAAAGCAAGACATTATTTAGCTCGAAGTTGTAGAAACCAAACAATAAACAAAGATAAATGTGAGAGGTTTCTCTTCCTCCTTTAAAAAAGGAAACATTTTAAAATTCAACAGAAGGTATAAAAGAAGAGCAATGATAGCAACTTGGTTTTACATTTTAGCATCTTGTTTGAATTTTTAAAAGGCGAATAACAAGGCTTTATATTGAGTGGCTGTAGTAAAGAAAAAAAATAAAACCAAACTCTGCAGTGCATGTTAAATTATTCCTACTATTACAGAATACAATATATACACTATGCTGTTAGAAAAAAAATCACAAGAAATGCATCAAAACACGGAGAACCTTTTCATATTGCAAGATTGCTCATCTGTTATTAGTTTTGTCCTAACTTTCTCCTTGTTACCTGCAAGGTACTCTTACCTGTCTTTTTCCTTCCAATCAGGGGCTCGCTCTTCTGATTATTCTTCAGGGCAATGACATAAATTGTATATTCGGTTCCCGGTTCCAGGCCTGAAGGGAGAATAGAACCATCACATTATGTCAATGGGCTCAGCTAGTCAAGTGGAAGTCGGTCTCACCAGCAGATGCTACTGGGAGGAGGCACTTCCTCTCCAGCTGGCTGTTGGCCTCTTGAAGGTAAAATCAACTTCACTTTTCCTCCATAAACACCTAAATATCCTGCATATAAAGTGCACATCGCAAAGTACTTGTCTGACTGTCATATCTGACACCTGAATAGACACTTTTTGGGTACCTTTTCCAGAGTATTCTTTTACCATGTGATCTTATTTGCCTTTTTGAATTTAAGAAAATCTATCAGCATCATATACCACCAGTCCTGCAGATTATATACATGAATCTACTTAGACCTAATAACCAAGTGGTCCTCAGTGGCAGATCAATGAAAAGCAAAACTCAAGGCAAGTGAAGGGTAAGAGAGATTGGCCAATCTTTGTACAGCCTCTGTGGGAAGTGTCTAGTTCAATTCCTCTCATATCTGCTTCTATTTTCCTGTTCTCCCGAGTTTTAAAAAGGCAGTGTGTCCTTCTAATGTCTGTATGTTCTATGGGAATTTTAAAGTCTAGGTGATACTCTATACAGACTGATATGGTTTGGCTCTGTATCTGCATCCAGATCTCATCTGGAATTGTAATCCCCATGTATTGAGGAGAGGAGGTGATTGGATCATGGGGGTGGTTCCCCCAGGCTGTTCTCATGATAGTGAGTTCTCACAAGATCTGATAGTTTTGTAAGTATCTGGAAGTTCCTCCTTTGTGCTTCTCTCTCCTGCTGCCATGTAAGACATACCTGCTTTCCCTTCCACCATGATTGTACATTTTCTGAGGCCTCCTCAGCCATGTGGAAATGTGAGTCAATTAAACCCCTTTATAGCAGTGTGAAAACAGACTAATACACATAGTTTAAAAATTTCATCTCTTGGGCAAAAATAATACTAGAGACTTATAGTCTTTCCCACCAAGGTAATCAACTTTTATTGGCCATTCCAGGCATTCTTTCTGATGTGGGTGGTTGGGATTGCTGTGCCTCAAGACCTATCCTGTGATAGTGGTCAATGGCAGGTGGTACCCTGGCAAGTCCTGCAAGAATGCCATATCTATAGAGATCTGAGTGTAATGACAGAATCACTCTCAGCTAGTTTGCTTTGAAAAATATCTTTCTCCAGGACTGAATTGACAGGTGTCTGGCAAACTTGCAACAAAAGGAAAACATGAGTCTAGTCATGCCATTTAGGACAGTCTTGAAATTGCATTTTCCTTCACTCATGCCTTCTGGGATGTATTGAGCTGTACCACTCCTACACAGAGAATGCTTTTTGAGGTTATCAGGAACAGGGTTTTGCATTCTCATGACACAGTATCAAAGACGCAGCGGGCGTTTGCTAAGGACTTCATGTGCCCTAGGTAGTAAGAAGGAGAATGACAGCATGGAAGCAGCAATACCAGTAATAGTAGCCTCTGTGACACCAGGGCGGGGCCGAGGGACCACTTCTCTGGGAGAAGACCCAGGCTTCTCATACTTGATGATGTAGCCGGTGATCCTGGCACGTGGCGGCTGCCACGATACCAGCAAGGAATTGGGTGTGGTGGCCAGGAAACGCAGGTTGGATGGTGCATCAATGGCTGAAAGAAAAGAAAATTAAGTCTCTAAGAAGGCAAATAACCAAGAAAATTACTCCCACACTTTTCTCCCTAGCCCTTCTAACACACTTAAAAGAATCCGAGAATACTGTAAACCGGAAACAGGATTCTCGGGAATCTATAATACAAAAATATCCGCCTCACTTTTGTTTTTTGAGTTCATGAGACTGACTGCATACAAGTCAGTGGCATTTCCTCAGTAGAAGGTATAGTTACCAGTGGAGGCGTCGATGACCACAGGGGAGCTCCGGGCATTGTCGTTCAGGGTGTACAGGTAGATCTTGTAGTCAGTGCCTGGTTGTAAACCTGGGATTTGAGAAGAGATGATTTTTACCAGTTCTTGCTTTACTAGGAGAATTCTCAAGCTCGCCTGCAGTTTTTCTGGGTTTCTCTATCATCCCATATTTATATAGACTATCAAAGTGGTCCACATTTGAACAGTAAAGTAGAGCATGGTATGGATGTAACTGTCAACAAGAAATGTATCTTGAAAGTGAATCACTGATGCAGATAAGGACACTGGCTAAAGTAAATTCTGGAATGCAAAAATGCTATATTGCTATATTGGAAGAGGCAACATTCATTGCAGAATGAGGGGCGGCCATTTATTGAGGTTTTCTCTTTATAGTAATCAGATGATCAATAGCTGAGCCTTGGAATCACAATTTTAAAAAACTGAAAAAGACCTCAGATATTGAATATTCTTTGGTTACCACTTTGACCTTTATTAAGTTGTATCATTTACTTTTATATTAACTATGCTTTTTAATCTATACTAATGCTAAGATCTATACATCACTGTTTTTTATTTCTTTTAATTTTAAACTTTGTGTTATAATTTTTTAAATAAGAAAGGGCACAATGATGAAAGATCAAACTTGTTGAATGAAACTTATGCCATTTCCATGACAAATATTACACAAAATCAGGCATTCAAAAGACAAAACAATTTCTGATCATAGCATGAAAATAATGTTCTAAAACTGGGTTATGATAACACTGAAAATAAATTTTATCAGTCAGTCTTAGAGCAATTAATAAGTCAGTTTACATTGTGGATATTTTTTAACAAATGTGGTTAGCACAATGAGTTCCCTGACCTGTGATGGTGTAGCTTCTGACATCTGGCTTGATGGTTCTCTGGATTGGAGTCTGGCCATTGGCTGGAACAGCATCAACTTGGAAGCCAGTGATCGTCTCGGTCTTGGTTCTCCAGCTAATGGTGATGGTGGTCTCAGTAGCATCTGTCACACGAGCCCTTCTTGGTGGGCTGACATCTGTACAGGAGCATAACTAGAGATTAGTGTCTGCTTGGCTCATCCTTGTAAAGTTTTGGTATTTTAAAATGTTTCCTTGGTATATATCAAATTCATCCATTTCAAGAAATATATAACTAGTAATGTGTAGATTATCTCCTTTGGCATTCAGAGAGAAAGGTCAACTGCAATTAGAAAATATGAAAAATCTACCTCTCATACACTTTATTTTGAAGAACTGAGAAGCTTTATGGATACTACCAGTGGTTCCTGGGGCTGGCTTTTTAGTATCTACAAATATTTCAATAAATATTAAAATTATTAATGCATTATAATGTAAAAATATGTGTGGTAGGAGTTATAACATGGCCAGCTAACAATTATATGTGTGTGTGTGTGTGTGTGTGTGTGTGTATGTGTGTGTGAGAGAGAGAGTGTGTGTATGTCCGTGTGTGTCTAATATTACTGCAAATATTTTGTCTTTTCTCTCAACAGGTAAAATGCCATCCTTCTTTTATAAACTATGAAACTTTGACACTTTACCTGACTTTTGAAAAGGCATATATCAAGTTATTGATATAACAGAAGACTAGAATCTAAGCCTGATTTTGGTCTAATGGTTACTGTGCTGTGATATAATTTGGATATTTGCTCCTGTCCAAATCTCTGTTGAGTTGTAATCCCCAATGCTGGAGGTGGGGCCTGGTGAGAGGTGTTTGGATCATGGGGGCAC